ATATGACTATTTGGGCCAAATTTTCCAAATGAATCAGTATACTCAGTGACACACACACTTTCTGCATCTACTGCACACCAAAGGATGCAAATGTGACATTAAGCTGCTTAATGAGACAACTTGATATATTGAAATTTTGGTCATGTTTTCTCTGCTACCTGCTTGGCAAGCAGTGAGGCATTCTTATCTGTCAGTGTGACGAACCTTTTTACTGATTCCTGTACTGCAGATTTTCTCTTCTCCTCCTTTACAGAGAGGTCAAAGTTCAAAATCAGATACAGAACAACACTTCTGGAGTGGCAGAGGATCAGTGTCTTGCTCAAGGATACTTCAGCAGGGCAGTGCCTGCAGAGATGAAGGTTTGAGTCCAAGCTTGAAATGCAACCTACTGCAAATCATCAAAACTCCAAATCTATTTGGCTCCTCTGTAGTAATGTGCTTAGTGTTAGGAAAAGAACATGCCGTAAGGCAGTTTTTATACTAGAACAGGTCTAGACACAGACAGAAAGTGCTAATGAATGTTACTTATAGACATGATAGAACAAATACCTGTAGGAAAATGCCTGGTGTCCCATTCAGACAAAACAACAACCAAGTTTGAGTCTCATTAAGGATAATTTTTACCATGAAGTCACAAAGATGGTGGCCAGTTTCAGAGAACAAATCCTCCACTTATCAAAGGTACATATACAATATTTGAAGTCTTCTATTGTGTCACTGTGTATCAGTGCCACTGAGACAAGATCCTCTTCAGTTATCAAACTTGTTGAATGAAGCAAATGCATCTCTGAGCTTCAAGAGGGGAAGGACGTTCACGTCTCCGGCTGCTGCAGCAAACCAGGCTGATAACAGGCTGCCCTGCCAGCCTATCTAGTCATATTCAGGCTGACAAAAGCCAAACATGCCACTCACACTTTCCTTTGAAAAGAAGAGCTTAAGCAGTCTGGGCTCAGACGCTGCTTTTGTTTTCCACCTCCACGTAGTCATGCAGCTTTGCGCTTGTTTCTCAGTGCAATTTGATTGTGAATGGCCATGAAAAACTGTTTCCAAAAATAGAGGCAACATTAATTTGTCAGATATCCAGTGACTGAATAATGAAGATAAGATGCAGATAGTTCTCAATCTTGTATGATCGAAGTGTGCAGGCTGGCAAAGAGTTGGCAGGGTGTGCCTTTATAAACACAAACTAGCTTTGATCCAAGACAAGCAAAGTTGAATGGCCACCAAGGGATTAATCTCTTAGAAAAGCCACTGTTTACTCAAAACTTTACTGCCTTATCCATCTTCCAGTAGCAGAAGAAGTATTCAATTTCTTTACTAAAGAAACTTAAGTACAAGTACATTAGTTGAGAAAATTTACAGTTTCCACCACTTCAGATCATTTTTATCATTTATGTAAAAGTAGTAATACTACACTATGAAAACATTTATTCCACTTTAAGTCATGCAATTAAAATTTTACTTAAGTAGTAAAAGTACAAAAGTATTTTCAACAAAATGTAAAAATTGTAAAAAGTATTACTCGTTTGCGAAGTAAGGCTTCAACCAACAATTATTTTTATTATCAATACTTCTGACAATTATTTTGGTTATTAATTGATTGATTGTTCAGTGTATGAAATGTCAGAAAATAGAGAAAAAAACATATATAATCATTTAAATTTCTACAGAATAATAATCAGCAACTATTCTGTTAATCGATTAATTGTTTTTAGTCATTTTTTGAGAAGATACATTAAATTTCATGTGAATATTTTCTGGTTTCTTCTATGTGAGTCTTCTAGGAATAAGGAACTTAATATCTTTGTGTTTTAGACTGTTTCCAACAAAACAATCCATTTAAAGAGGTTACCTTGGGTTTTGGAAATAGGGAAGGATGCTCACAATTTTAACAATATTTCATTGACCTAAACAACAAATCAAATAATCTGGATAAATAATCAACAGATTAATCAACAAGAAAAATAATCATTAGTCACAGGCTAGACCTGTTTGGGACTGTCTCAACCACTTTGTTGGAGACAAAGAAAAGGACCAGGATGCGGCTGTGCATGCTCCTTCACGGAGGTGGGGCAGTTAACATACATTTTCAAAACAACCAGTTTGTCTTCATCGTTAAAGACTTTTCCATTGTAAAAGTATGAAAAATAGTTTGGAAACACTTCCAGAAAAGCATAAATCCAAAGTCCAAGTCTGTTTTTGAGTGCAGGGCCCTCTTCGGCTCATTCTGGTGCATCATGCAGCAGTGGTCTCATTACTGCCCCCTGACACTAGAGGCCCACTGGTACTTGATAATTGTTGAGAACCACAGTTCTGTGGCTTTTTTACTTTTACTTTTCAAATATAAAAGACTTTAAGGAAGAGGACTGGTTGGTTTTGCTAATGTATCTAGTTAACTTCCACACCTCTGTTTGAGTGTAGCAAACAGCCACTTCCTAGTGCTTTGCACCTGGAGAGAGTGAATGAGACCGTCTAGAACAGGACTAGTTGCAGCCCTATTCAAATATAATGTGCTGTCTGACCAACAGTCAAAAACGCAAAGATGTTGAGATTACTATGATAAAAGACAGGAAGTGGTAAACATTAAAAATTTGAGAAGCTGATTGGCATAAAACTCAGCCAATAAACTCAAATAGTTAATGAATTATCAAAATTGTTGCCAATTCAGTTTCTATGAATCATCAATTAAATTAATCACTTCATCAGAGTGCTGGTTGGTTTCTGGGTGTATGGGGAAGTAATGAAACTATAGTGTACAGTGGGGGTCAAAAGGGGCCCAATAACAACTAGTCCTTCCCCCGGGTCCCAACAGGAGGGTAATCCGGCCATGAAAAAGTCTAAAAACAAGTTTGTTTGAATACTTCACGTACTTTGAGTAAAATCGAACTTCAACCCCTGTAAAATTAAATCACGTACATGACTTTTTCTCCCCTTTAACAACAGGTGAGATCTTACCTCAGGTGGGCTTATATTAAACGCCTCTGCTATTTTTGCGTACAGCTCCTTGACGTTGGTAAATCCCTCGATCCTGCCGGTCGGGCTTCCGTGCGCCAGCTGCGTGTGGAAGACCAGTTTGGGCCGCAGGCTGGCAGGTGGAGGCGGGAGCCCCGCTCCGTTCACGGCGGATTTACCCAAGCTCCCGGCACCTGCGTGTCCGCCGCTGACCTCCTCGTTGTCCACCAATTGCTCCTTCGTCGACTTGTTTTTCTTCTTCCACGGTCCCAACGGCATTTTCCTCGCTGTTTTCGTTTGTTTTTCTCCGTGTAAAAAGAAAAAGTCCGAGCCGCTGCTATAACATTGAAGTACCTGTTGAGTCCCAAGCCCAACGGTCGTGTTGTCCTATTTACTTCCTTCTTTCCTCCGAGCTTTCCTTAGTTTCTTCTTCCTTCCTTCCTTCCGCGAACACTTTTCCTTTCCTCACCTGCCCGCAGCCGAGGTTTGACTTTGTTCTTCGACAGTGACTCGACGGTGTAAATATTCAACAGGTAGATGGTGAGTGTGGGATAAACTCTTGACACAACCTGCTGGCTGGACCTCAGCTAACAATAGCTACTCTGTTTGTCTCTCGGCGTGCCGCGGGACGCAGGCGCAGTGGGACGAACCGGGGCTCTACCGGGCAGGATGGTCAGTCCCGGTGCACCTGTACAACGCCACGGGGGGACAAGCACCTTAAAACAATTACTCTTCTTTTCGTTTTTAAACACATACTGAAGAAGAATAAAGAATAAAAGTTAAAGTAGCCTGTAGGTTTACCCACACATCAAGAATTAGCTAGTTTCACAAAGTATTTTAATATTGAGTATCTTCAACCAAATACAATCCAATGTTTGTTTGTTTCTCCTTTATCTTACAGCTGCAGAGCGTAGTGAGGCTTGAGTAACATTTCATTAAAATACTGTCAAATTAGAAATGAAATTCAAATCAGGACAGCAGAATCTGCTTTTAAAAAATAACCTGCATGTTACGCTTTTTGTGATGATTTCCTATAATATTTAGCATAGTGTGCTGTAGTATTTTGTATATCTGAGCATCTGTCTGCAACCTTTCTTCTTCTCCTGAGTGAATAAAATACTGAATTAGGCAAATCATGTGGACATCTTTCAAAGTAATTGCATTTTTGGAATAAAATGTCCTAATTGAGTTTTCATAAACAGTGTTTCTTTGTTGAGCTGGGATAGAGGGACATCTGCACAAAGAATGTATTTTGTGGTTAAAATACTGTCATTTTGGAAGGCACCCACTTAATTTGTCTAATTTAGACCGTTGACGCCTCATGCTAGTTTCAGGTTAACTATGAAATGTATTTTCACACAGATGAAGGGCTGTGGATCTTGTCCCCCATTACTTAAGCAAGGAGGGAAGCTCTTAATGTCCAGTGTGAACAGGAGGATGATCAAGTAACGCCTGTTTCAATGTAGGTATGGGCACCTCACTATTGTTTTAAGATAGACCTGAAAAACTGTGAACCTTTCCTTTCCTTTAGTATGACAGTGGTGGAAGAAGTACTTAAGGAACCACCAATTCCAAACAACTCCATTCTATTATTCAAGTCCTGCATTCAAAATCCTACATCTGGAAAAGCACAGAAGTATTCTCTGTAAAATACTTAAAGTATCAAGATAAAAGTACATAAGTATCATCAGTTTTGTGAGTTAAAGTATCAAAAGTACTAATGTATCTGATATTACTAGATTGTTGATGCATCCCCAGTATTTAAGCATCATTTTACTGTTATAGCTGGTCAAGGGGGAGCTAGTTTAAACTACTTTATAAACAGTTAGTTAGTTTAATCCAGTGGGAAAGAAAATTAGTTACAGTTACTTAAATTACACCATGTAATAAGTATGGGGGGGGGGAAATGCATGGAAATGGTTGGAAACCACAGATTTTAGGGACTGGTCTTATATTTTCAATGCAACATCTTACAAAATCTTAATGTTAAAATCTCAATCTGAAAAGTAACAAGTAGCAGTAAAAGTAGTAAAGGAGAAGTAAAAAGTAAATGTATGACATGTAGTAGAGTAGGCGTATAAAATAGCGTAAAATAGAAATACTCAAGTAATGACCAAGTTCCTCAAAATTGTACTCAATTATGGCCTATCAATTAATTTAGGCCTATTAAATTGAAAACTGTTACTTTCCACCACTGATCAATGGAGAAGCAGATTTATGTACACAACCTTAATATTCATCAGCGTCGTTTTCAATCAGTGCATTAAAGGTTTGCACATCGTACACCCACCATTTCATACTCTTGATTAAGAGGGAGAAAACAAACATAAGCTAAGCTGAGTAGAGAGAAATGTGCCTTTGAAATATTTACAGATAGACAGACAACTGAAGAAAAAAACATGACATCTGAAAACTAGGACACAAAATCAAGAAGTTTGTCACAACTTTGATGTGACACAGAGATCCAAATCAGCCTCACATGAGTTCACAAATCAATTTTTAAAAGGCTTTGGCCCAGGAGTCAAGGTGCTTGTTCCCTTTAATTCAGTAGTAAATGGTTATTACTGTATAACAAGAGAAAACATATTGAGAGTAAAGCCTGTCTTGTCTAAGTTTAGCAATTCCTCATGTGTAACTGTCAACGGCTCCTCATTATGCTTAACAATAGGACCCCAAATCCACTGGGAACAAGGTCCACATGGAAGCATCATACAGCATATCTGATTAAAAAATAATAATAAAATTGTAATATGAGACCTGTTGTGGTCCTCAGAATCCCCCTACATATCAGCATTCCTCTTTGAAGAAATAATGGTACTCGTTAGAGCCTATTTATCAAAAGTGAAGTGGGTTTCTTAAATGTGCCATATTGTGTTAGCAACAATTCACTGACTATAAATTGGCCTATTAAAATGGAAACTGTTAATATGCTGTGTTAAATGGTGGGATATTCACTGAATGTAAGATCAAGATACAGACTTATTATAAAATGACACACTCTAAAAAAGAGAAACTGTTAAAAAGGCTTTAAGAAGCATCATCATTCACCACACATGCAGGTGATTTGCTGATAAAAAGATGATCACATTAAGCTGTGATCTTAAGTTAGTGGTTATTATTATACAAGCAACCACTGACAGAAACCAACGGTTAACTATAGTTAAAAGTGCATTAATTCCATCAAAGACCTAGCATGAGTTTGATCTTAAGAGTCGGATACAGTGATTTTCATACAGTGAAGATTTCCATCAGGCTGGTAAACTCACACACTGAGCAGGAGCAGGTGTGTTTACTCACCACCCTCCCTGGATAACAGTGACTCATCATTTGCACAAATGTGCTTGTAAGTATTTTAAGGATAGCAGCGCCATTCAATACAAATACTTTGTCAGCAAAAGGAACACTTTACGTTGCCACCAGAGGCCTAGTTAATATATAGTATTTAATATATTAGTAGTTGATATATAATATATAGATTGGTGGTGGATGGTAACAAAAAGTGTTAAAAAATATGATACTTATCTGTGACAGTAAATGAAAATATGTATGTGATAAATGCATATAGTAGGCATCTAATACCAGCTGTTATATGGCTTCAGTAGAGGCCACACACACTAAGAAATTCTGTTTTTGATGCCACATTTCGAGCCTAGTGGCCCCCTCTGTTTATCATGGACTCTCCCTTCTATGGGCCCCCCACTCCATGATGAGTGATGTGGCGTCCCCTGGTGGGAAAATGTAAAGGCCTCTGTGTTGGCAGCTGATATCCAGCAGCTGAGACCAGACAGCTATATTTACACACTCATAGTTTTGCCATTGGTAACTTTAAGCATTAAATTCAGTCAATATATTTTTAATTTTGATCTTTGAAATGTTACCATATAAGTTTTACAACAACAAAATATTCACATTTGACTACAAAAAATATACTGTATTTCTGAAGAACCACATCATTTCCTGGTTCTGCAGAGAACATATTTAGTGTAATATTGCTATGCAGACTAACTATAAATAGGCCTAAGCAGTATTAGTGGTTTTAAAGTGATTATTGTTAATGCACTGTTTATTTCATGGAAGGGGAGTCACTGAATGCCTCTCCATGACTGAAACGGCTCAAGATCAGTTCATGTGGAAATATTTATTTTAAAATTCAACTTCAGTATTCTCAACATGTAAGTTTCTAAAATGCACACATGACGATCCCGATTAGTTCACTCAACTGCTTTCCTCTTATTAACTTGTACACAAATTTTAAAACAGCATCCAAAATGTCAGCAATGAAACCTGTCAAATCTAAATGAGAGCAGGAAAATGTACTGTTTGGCACTGCAGTTGTTCCAGGATCACTGGGACATTCTGTCTGGTAAGTGTAGACTCATTCACAGCCAAATATTTCCAACAAACAAAAAGATAAAGTGATTGTGGAAAAGACCCACATATATAAATTGTGTACTTTCAGATATCAACAACCCAGTCAGACAGTCTTTCACCTGTATCACCTTGGCAACATGCACAGTATTTATAAAAACAACAGATAGCTCAAAAATAGAAATTGCACATTTGTCAGTAGGGGGTCCATCTGTGAGCTGTCAGAACTGTCCCTGTGTGTTTGTGTGTTTGTGTGTTTGTGTGTTTGGTAACGAGGGTGAGTGCTGTCATGCGGTTATCTCCCCTCATTCAATCCATGTCCTTTGCCCTAAGCAGGTAAATGCCGTTTCAGGACGTCCTTGGCGTTGCCAGGCAACGTGTCGGGAAAGTTCACATCAAACTCCACCACCAGATCTCCTCTCTGCTCTGGGTTTTTGGGGAAAGGGAGACCCTGCCCAGCAACAGTCTTTCTCAAGCCGGGCTTGATGACGTCTGTGATCTTCATGTTGCACGTCTTCCCGTCTATCGTCGACACGGTAACCGAGCATCCACACAATGACTGGAAAGACAGGGATATGGATGTTAGAGTGAGGATTAGCAGAGAAATGCAACCCACACATGATCTACTTCAGAAATCAAATGATATGTTTATGTTTATTTATATGTGAATTGATATGTTTAATCCACATATCTAATAATCAACCTGATATTCAATGCAATGAACTGCGATCCACTGTGTTTCAGTACACAAAAGCAAATAGCTCATCAATGTGGACAACAGAAATAATACAACTTCATATAAACAAACATTTTTGATAAGGATTCATTCATTCATTCAAGACTATTTCATCAAACTACAGTTACTAAAATCAAAAGTAAACTTCCATCTTCCATACAACATTCAGTGTGATTAGAGTTAATTTAATCTAATATAATCTGTGATTTTTCAGCATGAGTCATGTCATGATCTGCAACATTCAGATATTCAGAGGAGTATTTCTGAGTGTTGAGGAGAGTAGGAGGAACCATATAAGTACATCTTGCACCGTGTGTGTGTGTGGGCGGCCGCCGCCTCTCTAACCTCCCTGTGATACAGCTCCTATTTCTCAATGCTGTTGATCCAGATTACATAAGTGCACATCCAAAGTGTGTGTGTAGTTTGGTACTATGCTCATGCAGTATGCCTCTACTTTCCAGGGAAGACTTTTGAGGCACATTACCTTGTGACCAGGCTTTTCAGAGCTTTAAAGCAGCACTCTCATGTAAATGTGAGCTTGTTTCGACTCTCCCCTGTGTATGACTAATCCATCTATCAGACTCTATTAATACTACTAAACTTAGTCACAGCGGGTGCCAGAATAGAAAATGCCTCACCTGTCGCAAGCTCACGCGAACAGGATACACAATGTTGGAGCCTTCCCTCCTGAAGTGAGGGTGTGGCTTGTCCTTGATGACGAAAACAATGTCAGCAGGAATGGTGTTTGGCGACTCGTCTCCCTCCCGTGGGAACGTGATCTTGGTTCCCTCTTTCCAGCCTCGCTTGATCTCGATAGTGAGAATCTTATCCTCGTTGCGCATGGTCCTGCCATCTGGATTTAGCCTTTTGCGAGAGATTTTCATCCTCTTGGTGCAGCCGTGGAAGACCTCCTCCAGGGAGACCCTCAGTTCGTGGATGATAGCCGGGTCCTGCTTCCGGCGCTGCTGCCCTCCCAGGCCGATGTGGCCGTCCCGAGGGAAGCCGTTCAGGTTGAAGCTGGTGAAGGAGCCGAAAGGGTCGTTTCCGTCCACCTCCATGTCCTCATCGTCTCGCCCGTTGGCTTTACGCCCAAAGAACATCTCGAAGGGGTTCGAACCACCGAAGAAAGTGGCGAAGGTGGCGTGAGGATCCCCATGGAAGGTGTAGGTGAAAGTGCTGCCCTGTCCGTCACTGGTGGGTCCACTTCCTCCCTTGAGACCTGGTGGACAACAGAAATGATTCATCAGTCATCCTGCCATTGACACTGAGCAGTGGGAGAGCTTTAAGCCACAAGTGATGCCTACTTTGACAGCAGGGATTCACAGTCCAATCTGCTGGATCAGTATTAGGCCAAACACTGACCTTATTAAGTGGCTCTTGTATCAGCCATGAAGTGACCAATCCACATTCAATTCAGTTTATCAGAGCTGCAATGATTAGTCAATGAACTGATGCATTGATCAACAGAACTATTTTTGATAATCAGTTAATTGAAAACATTAGATAGTATCAGATTGGAACTCAGTATTGATCGATACCTTGAGTTGAGGTATTGGAAGCAAAATCGGGAAATTGCATTCCTTTTGGATAAAATACTTTACAGTACAAAGGAGACTGTATTAAAGGATAGTCAGGAACTTGAGTTTTTGGTGGACAAATTCTCAAGTTTTTGAGACATTACAGTAGATTAAATACTCAGTAGGTTTGTCCAACTGCTATGTTAAAGATCTTGCATTTCATTATCAACAAAAAAAGCACACAGTGAGATGCTCTGTTTGTAACATGGCATGGGAAGCCATGGTAGACACATTTCAAGGTTCATATTTTCAGTTTGGGTTTCTTCTTACTTTTAAAATACACCTTTTATTTCACTTACAATGGCCTTTTCTGGCAACATTCCTCATGTACCTCCTGTTATATCAAAGGTTAAAATTAATTTGAACAAAATTATATTATGTCACCTTTCATTTAGAGTATTTGGGTTTAGACATGATCTGTGATCTTCCCTTCCTCACATCAGACAGGCTTCCCACCCATAACCATCTGGACTGATAATTAAACATTCATAGTCAGATACTACAATGTAGGTACCACATACAGTACAGAAGGGTTTGACATAATGAAAATAGTGGGGTTTTTTTTATTAAAGAACCCACATATTTGAGAAACTCTGTTGTGGAAATGGTGACAAGCCTTTATTTCTTCATTTAACAGGGGCCTATCACTGTAGAGACATTGTAATATGATAATCTTTATAATTAAATGCACAAAACTATAGGTCTGCTGAACAGCTGTTTTCAGGGCCCGCTGGTTTGCTGGTTGCAGTGTGTGATTTGAATTAAAGCCAGCTGTGTTTCACATCCAACCATCCAGTCTTATAACGGGTTTATAACGGTACATAAACGGTGAATTAAGAACCGTCACACAAGGTTACAGATGTGTTTCAATGCGATTAAAAACCCATATTACCTTCCTCTCCATACTGGTCATAAATTTCCCTTTTCTTCGGATCGCTGAGGACTTCGTATGCCTCAGCGATTTCCTTAAATTTCTCCTCGGCGACTGCAGACTTGTTTTTGTCCGGGTGCCATTTCAGCGCTTGTTTTCTGTAAGCTTTCTTTATATCCTCGTCTGTGGCTCCTTTAGAGATACCCAACGTTTTGTAGTAATCTTTACCCATTTTTCACGTATCTCAGAAAAATAACAAACCGGACTAAGCCCTCAGAGAAGAGCTGATGCTGGTCTGAGTGTGGTTGACGCAGGGTTGTCACAGCAGTGAAGCGGCGTCAGTCTGGACTAAAACACAATAAGTAGCCACAGACAGACGCACGGTGCAGGATGAAGACCATTTAGAGGCGCTTAGTCAACGCCGTGGACCCTCTGTTATTTATCCGGGACAAGATGACCCTCTTTAAATAGCTACAGCTCCCTCCCCTGCAGCCACAGCGCCAAAGTCAAGTTAAACACAGCAAATAATTCTGGATCCGGTGTGGAAGCTGCTCTGTCCGGATGAGCTGAATTTCTCATCATCATCATCATCATCATCATCATTCTCATCATCATCATCATCATCATCATCATCATCATCATCATCATCATTTTGATGCTTATGGCCGGATTAACCTGCTAGAGGGCCATGGGGCAAAAGTTAGCTGCTGGGCCCCTACACCCCCACCACTACCATCACCAGCACTACCTACAAATGAATGTAGGATTATACACCATGCAAGTATGCAATATACATTTTTTTCAAGATCAAGTTCTTAAATATAGATAAAGCAGGACCATGTAAAGCCGAAGTGAAATCAAACCTCTGGGTTCTGTTCCACAAGTAAGAAAACAACATTTGTAACTACACCAATACCTGCTACTGAAGCCGTGGAGCAGGGGCGTTCTCAACCATATGTGGTGTGGCTTGCTTCATATGTTTAGCTGGCAGCTAGCAGCCACTTAGCTTAGCTTAGCTTAGCAAAAAGACTTGAAAGTCAGAACAACAACCTGAAAATAAAGTGTGGCTGCTCAGGGCCTATTATATTCATATTATAGCCTATAGACACCAAATAAAATCACAACCTATGAAATAATGACCACAAAAAAGGCTAAACCAGAAATGAAGTAACATAATAACAAAATGTCTGTACAAACCCGTTTGCCTTTGGGACTTTTCAAAAGTTGTTATTAATATCTATTAAATTCTACATGTGCAACAAAAACCTGGTCTTATTTTGAAAGCATATTTCCGGTTTCGCTCTATCTAACCCAGCCCAACTCGACACCCCGCACTGATTTCAGCGGCTCTTTCTAGAAAGCACATATTAAGGCACGTCATTCACTAAACCGGGGTCGTTTACACATCATCCAGGTGAGAGGTGAAAAAAGAAAGGCTGCTCATTGTGTTTTAGGTAAATTTTAAAGATGACAGCATCACACAGCAAACTGACAGCTGCACCCCTCACAGCTCACTCACTTTATAGTCCTACAGACACATGGTAGGATAACCTTCCAGCCCCAGAAGCCAGAAGAAGTGTGCGTGCGTGCGTGCGTGCGTGCGTGTGCGTGTGTGTTCCAGGTCCCTGAGGCACTGTTTTTATGTTTTGGCTTTCTTCAGCTTGTGTGTGTGCATGTACTATTCAGACCATTCCTATTGTTGGCTCAACACATCAAACCATAAACATGGAAGGTTTCATTTTTTCTAGATCTTAAAAATTACGTACATTTTTATTTCCATGTATTATAATAATCCCCAGTCTGTCTCTGGAAACTCTTGTCACCAGCTCCACAAATAGCAGAGAGGGCACAGTGATGATTGAGGATGATGAAGATGATGGGGCTGTGGTCGCCTCTCCCGCAGCCACAGCGCCATCTGCTGCACCACAGAGAAAGTGAGGTTTTCTCTTGGAGCTGATGATGAACCCTCTCATACTGCATTGGCTCTGAGCCCTGCCATGAGTCAGCGTCGATGCAAAGCTGCAGGTCAATCATTTCTGCTAATTGTCAATGCTTTATTTCTCTCCCTATATCGGGCAAAGCAGGCTTCATATCGCCATTTTTTCACACCTTGAATTTTTAAGAAATATTTTCTAAACCAGCCATGGATCAGTTTCGTGGTTTATTTGTCAAACTGGACCAAAACAAAGATGGATTCATTTCTGTGGCAGAGCTCCACGACGAAATGAGGAAGCATGGGATCCTATCAGCAGATAGCAAGGTCCAGGTAATATTCTCATTATCTCATTTCTCATAGTGTTTACTGCATGGTCCTAACTTCATTAATTAATTCATTCAAATACTACTATTCAAAACAAACCAGCCAATGAAAGAGGTTTTTTTTTCATCCAAGAATATCATTGATGCTTATGATAAAGACAAAGATGGCCTGTTGGATTATTCAGAGTTCCTCAGCTACATGATGGACAGAGAGAGGACCTGGAAAATTTACTTTCATGACCTTGACAAGAACAAGTGTGGTGAGTAGAGTGAGTGTTTGCACTTGAAAAATGTTCTATTCCTCAAACATTAAAGTAGAACTAGGCTTGTTGAATACTTACTATAAATACTAATATTTATCCATCTGTTTTTGAAGAATTACACCTACAGTTTTGTTCTCCTTTACAGAACATAATGTGTCCTACGACCGATGTAGGAGATGTGTGGTCCTACCTGGACATCTTCTTTATAAACCACAAAAAATGTTAAATTTTTTCTAATTTACAATAACAGTGTTTTCAAGGTCAGACGGGAACAGCTGAAACGCAAACGTTAGATTTGTTTATGGTACACTGTAGACAATACACTGACTGATCAGTACTACAGACTGTGCCCTTTACTCTCAGAGTGTGCAGTCATCACTTGACAGTTTGCAGACAATAAGTGGAAGAAGCAGTCCCAGTATCTGTTTGTAATTTTGTGCATTTCTTCTCTGATCAGGGGTGATTGACCAGGAGGACATCATATGTTTGTTTAAGGAGTTAGGAGTGGTCATTTCAAAGCCGAATGCAAAAAAAATAATACAAATGTAAGATTTTTTTGCGAACTACCTCATGGATTAATCATTATATTTGAACGAATACTCATTCATCTGAAAAAAACATAAACAAATTATACAGTCAAATTAGGTTCATACTGAGTTCAAAACACTCTCATGTTTCACTCACACACATTCAACACATTAGTGCTTTCCAAACAGATGATTCTCGTATCACTTTACAATAATGTATCCTTACTTTGTTGGTAAGATATCAATAATTACTTCATTAATGGTAATAAATCATTCTTGATGATCAGTAATACACATCCTAATGCCAGCAGAATTGAATTTGGGTTGCCAGATCGTAAGCCCGCATTTAATTTAGGGATTCCTCTTGGTCTTTGATTAGACTAATCTGGCGGCATCCCTTTTATGGATTCAGCACTTTGCCTTCAACAAGAAGGCAGCACAGCATCTGAGCCATTCACTAATGACTAAATAACATTTATTTTTTTGACTGCAGACTTGATGGCTTATTGTAAGATGGAAAAATTCACAGCCCTTTATTAATGAAGGTAGGGAGATTAGAATAAAGGGATCCATCAATTTGGGCTGACAACCTGGTATACCTGAGTTTATGTTATGCCAGCATTACAATGGCTTATTACTGCCCTGCATTAAGTCAATTAGCTATTAATCATTAATGAAAACATTCCTGGAAACCTTTACTAGTATGGATGATCGTAAAGTGATACTAGGATGATGTTTTAGACAAAATATTCATATATGAAAACTCTTAATATTTTGATGAAACACGAGTAACACTGAATATTTGCTGGTTATTGTGTTTGCTAATCCCAGGATGGATAAGGACAGTTCGATGACAGTGGACTGGGGTGAATTCCTGCACCATGTCATCCTCAACCCTGTGGACAACATTGGGGAGCTGGTGACCTCATGGAAACACCAGCTGGTAAGAAGAGGTGGTCCAGCAGTGTGACGCCCCTGTTTCTTTTGACAGATTGTGGAGAGACTCTCACATGCTATACACTTATGTAAATAACACAATGATTGACAAGTTACCACAAACGTCATTGAATGTAATTCCTCATATGTCTCTCTGTAGGTATTTGATGTGGGGGAGAGCCGTGCGATGCCCCTCGAATTCCCAGAGGAGGCGTCTGGTTTTGGTGCATGGAAGACGTTTGTTCTGGCAGCGGGCCTGGCAGATGCCGTATCCCGCACTGTGACGGCGCCCATCGACCGCCTTAAGACCCAGCTTCAGGTCAGCTCTACGAACAGGTGCCACTTTATTTGTGAAATACATGTATGTTTGTCCATGGTTTAGTGATGCCCCCCAATGGGACAATCAGTTAGATTAAGCTCATATGCAATACAAAACACACACACACACACACACACACACACACACACACACACACACACACACACACACACACACACACATCTAAGAAAACACCCCACGCATGCATGGTGCTGGGGAAACGGTCAGAAGTTTAAGTTTCTTCTGAAGTTGTCAAATTCCCACTTTCTTTTTTAACATCACTTTGTTTTAACACAGGTCCAATTACTAACTTCCAAAGCTTTCAACCACATCTCACAGCATAACTTGTTCTATTTGCTGACTAAAGACCATGAGATGCAGTTTAAAGCTCTGATAACGAGTAAGCGGTCCTTTGAGCTTAGATTATGGTGTTAGATTCAGTGTTCCTAAAGATAAGACGAGATATGAACCTCCAGGGTTAAACTCGCGTGAACAGCATTTAACATCTGCTCTGATCTCCTTTCATGTGGTCTGGATTCTGTTCTTAAATGGCCTGTTGTTACATTTGAGAGGTTGTTTTACTTGACTGTCTCAGGGTGTAAAGATAATGTGTTATCAGCCAGCCTACCTTGTTTTACATAATCTGTCTGCCCCCGATAGTAGAAGAGCATTCAGTTTACAGTTTATATGGCATATTGCTGACATGTATGAGGAAGAGAATGAGCCAAATCTTTCATGAGACTCGTCATATCTTTAGTGCTGTTCTTGCAGCTGCTTTAAATCAGTGCTTCTCCTTTTCTACCTTTAATGGTGAAGTATCATTGACAAAGACATCTAGTGATGTTTCTCTGTAGCCGACACTGACCCCTGACCTCCCTGAATTAAGCAAGTGAAAAGAGGTTGACAGCAATACAACATCATTTCTGTTTTCTGTCTTTACCTGCCTAGTATCTTTGTTGCACATGTAACTGTATCCCCCCACAAAAACTGTTTCAATATACTGTATCTCTGCTTCACATTGCATATTTATTGCAGCTGGCTATGAAAGTGATTCGGTTTAAACTATTTCCTGTGTGCCCCGCAGGTCCAAGGATCCAAGGCCTTCTCCCAAGGCTTCCAGGAGATGAGAGCAGGTGGTCTGCGGTCGATGTGGCAAGGTAACGCTGTCAATGTGCTGAAAGGAACACCACAGTCGACGCTACAGTGTCTTATCTACGCCCAGGTGAGGCATATGGCAGCGGACGGACTCTCCAGTGTGAATTATTTAGGATCCAGTTTCATATTTCTAATCGACATGCACTCTCCTGCTTTGTCCAGATGAAGGTGTACACCCAAAACAGAACCCAGGAGACTCTGACGGTGCAGCAGCGTTTCGGGTTGGGCTGCGTCTCCGGTGCTGTTGCTCATGCTGCCTTCTACCCTTTAGAGGTATCAGAGATCAGTGGCAGGTCTGAATGCTCAAACATTTCTGTCCTGTCCTGTATTTAGCTAAAATAGCTGAACATTGTTGAAGTATTACAAATTTTAAATGTCAGTATGTCATTGCCATGTTAATTGTGATGCTTTGGTTTGATTATTGTAAACAAATGAGATCATTGTGGAGATGTCTGTTAGATTCTACAGTATCACACGCAGCAAGTTAAACTTATTCCAGCATCATCAGGCGGCACAGTTGGGACTTAGATTTAAACCCCTCTTTTGCTCTCTTAATTACAATTGTGGCCCCTGCTTCCCAGTGTCTGCCATAAAGCAGTTTCTCCTCTGAGCTGTAAAACAACATCAACACTGACTGTATTGTAAAATTCAGTGCAATCCACTAATATTTTTCTGTTGATTATTTCCTTTGTGTGCACTCTAAAAAAGTGAAAAAGTAGTATATGCTTTAAAAGTTGCTTAGAGTTTCCAGTTAGCCCCATTACATTAGCAGTATTTTTCAATAATGATATATAATAGGACTTTATTTCTATAGCACTTTACTTAAGAAAGTTACAAAGTACTTCACAAACAAAAAGTCAGACTGTCCGAGTTATGAAACAGTGAATGTCTCGTTTTGGAATTAAACTCATTACTTTAAAAATATGAATATAATCCAACTGTTTGATGTGCCAGCCGAAGTTTATTTAGTAATCTCTCTCCTCTTATTTGCCCTTCAGGTGTTGAAAGTGAGGCTGAACCTGCAGCAATCTGGCACTTACAACGGTGTGGTGGCCTGTGCCAGATCCATTTACAGACACGAGTCTTTGTCCTCCTTTTACAGAGGATTCAAGCCTAGCATCCTCTGTATGATCCCCTACGCAGGTGTGGAGTGTGCAGTTCATCAGGTGAGACACACCAACACTCAAAAACTAAAACGCTGTTTCTCTGACAGATACTAATTGTAACTATTGGCGTCTTATTGCAGTCGATCATGAACTGGGCAAAGAGTGATCCGGCCTACAACAGTGACTCCAAACTGTTTTTCTTCAGTTTTGTGGCCTTTGCCTCTGGACAAATGACCAGTTACCCACTGGCTGTGATCCGCACTCAGCAGCAAGCTCAGGGTAATATTTCTATTTGGTTTAACACAGTTGAGTTTATTTGAAACAATCTGAGATCATGTTTTCCTCATCACCATTTGTATATTTTGCAGCTTTCAGCTCAGATTCACGCCCAGCTTCAGGCGTTTTACAAGGACTCATTGGGATATATGAAAGACGTGGAATTAGAGGATATTACAACGGCATGGGAGCCAGCTTTGTCAGGGCTGTTCCATGTGCCTTGATAAACTACACTTTAACTAGGAAATTTGAAAATCTGTTTTCTTCAGTGGAGTCTTGAGATTTAGCAAAGAGGTTGCTTTCTTTGCATGTTGAACTGTTGCTCTTAAACAAAACTTTGGAGGGTTGTGATCAGGAACACAAAGAAAAAACTGTGAACTCTTATGAATGTGAACTGAGTACACCAAAAATAACTGGAATCCTGAAACAATTGCAAGAGTCAAGTCTGCCAGACATGCACTGTCATTTGATTCACACTCAAATACCTCTGTAGCTTTTTTAAAGCATTAAGTTAAGAACGGTTTACCTCCAAGTCCATGAGACGTGGTGAAGTTTTTTAATACAGTAAATCTCAGACACATGGTTGACTTGAAATTTACAATGTGACTTAAGTGTAATAACTGCCCACTTCAGACTGAACTGTGTAAATGAAGTGTTGAAGTGTGAGCTGTATAATAAAATATAACATTTTATTTCATAACAGAGGTCAGGCATCTTCTTTTTCATTTATCATCAAACAGTGTCGATGGTGTCCTGAGTCAGTGTTTCTTTGTTTGTGTGAAGCTTTCACTGTGAGGTTTTAGAAGACTATTTCCATTGTCTTCATTATACTGTGAACATAAAATCAATCATCTTATTTTATATTACTTTATTACTGAATTTCACTGTAAAAGACAAATGACTAAGATTTCACAGGAATTATGTTTTGTCAGCCAGACCAGACCAGGTCGGGATCAAAAACCACTACACTAGATTTGTTAGATTTGATCTAGATTACTAAGGAGAGAATAGAGGCTCTTTAAAACACAATTACAAATTTGTGAAAGCTTGATTCTATTTGTCAAAACAGAAAAAAAATCTAAATTCTTTATGTAGGTTAGATTTGACATAGTGTTTAGTTAAAATGTGACCGTTAACGCGAGACTAGACATGTGACCGCGAGTTTTCCCGTCCACATCCCGTGAATGAAACCCGCCATCTTGTCGCGTCGAGCAGAAGAAGAAGAAGATATGGCTGACTACAGCAGCGTGGCTCCGCCGTCCTCTAACGCCGGTGGCGGGATGAACGATGCTTTTAAAGATGCTCTGCAGCGAGCACGACAGGTAAGAAGTCCCACTGTGTCGTTTAGTCAATGAATAATTTCCAAGTCGGTGGCAAGTGGGTAGTTTTTGTGCTTTCTGCCGTTACATACGGGTTTGGGGCAAGCTAAGCTAAGCTAACAAGTAACGTTACGCCACGCTGCAAAAAACGATGCGAAACCAGAAGCTGGTATAGTTGCGAGCACAGGGAACGTTAGAAAAACATGATCATTTATTGAGAGCCCTAAGCTTTCTGTGTTTTAACAACATCGTTCAATTAGGTGAAATGTAAGCTGAAGCGGTCCTTTGTTGGTCCCGACTTCCGGACAGAAATGTAGGCCGCAGGCAGCGTGTTGTACGAGTACAGCGAAAAAGGAAAATCAACTGAACTGTTGTTTTCTCTGTTATTTGCTGTTTCAGATCGCGGCGAAGATAGGTGGTGATGGAGTTGCGGCACCTCCAACAAATGAATTTGGCTACGGAGGCCAGAAAAGGCCCCTGGAGGACGCTGGTGGGTATTTTCCCATGCCTAACCTGAATATCGGTCAGTGGCTCAAATCGATTCAATGCAAGTCTTCACAGTTAATGCTTGCCTGTGTGTTTTTTTTAAAATCGTATTTGCATAGAGATGTTCTTAATCAATAGTACTATTTCATATTAATGTGCATTTTCAACAATAAGTCTAACATCACTACTAATCATATTACTGCACTTTCTTGTGTTATTTTTGTTTTATGCAGTAAATTGGCTATGGCATGTGTTTTGTATTTGAATGATATCTTGACTGTCTGTCCTCACAGCTGTTTTCCACCAGTGCCTGGTGCTGAAAATGTATTAATATTTCAGGGGTGAACATATGTGATTTCATAATTTAGTTTTTAAAGTTACAATATCAAAGCTGGTTGGATCCCTGTTGGTTGGAACAATCAAGTATCCAATTGATAATTGAATCCCAGATTCTGTTTAAGTAAATATCAGCATAATTATAAACTGATTCCAGTATATTAGGTACATGTAGGATATTGTTATGCAGTCTAATACAACAGTAGTGAAATAAATTATTATGACATTGATTTGAATGGGGTGGTCAAAATATTAAGTGTAATGTAGGAGCCTACAATTAACAGCACCACAAACTACAGCTGTTGTAGTTGAATTTTTCAACAACCCTTTGCCTTAACCATTTGTATTTCAGGCAATGCCGTTTCAGTCCCTGATAGTAATGTGATAGGGGGTATAATGTCAGATACTTATGCTGGTTATTATGTTGTGTTATCACAGACCAACCAGAGACAAAGAAAGTGGCTACAAATGATGGTAAGTTACCTGAAGATATAGCTGTAGTTACGGTAGTACACAAGACTGTAATTCTTGATAATTCCCTACCTAAAGTAATTGGCCTAAAATTAGCATTAATTGGGACATTGGTGCATGGTTTACATCTTGCATTGTATATTTTATCCCTCAATGCTCTGTAATATCTTTTCCCCAGCCTTTTCAGCAATGGGAGGAATGGGTGGTCCCCCAAGGTAAATACACACACTAAACTAAAACATTACCTTTGACACTCATCTTATTAAAATGGCATATTGTAATGCTCACACTAACTTATCATGTCATTCTCAGGTCAACATCAGAAGAGTTCAAGGTTCCAGATGGAATGGTTGGATTCAGTAAGTTTTAATTTTTACTGAACAATGAAAGCAAAAATTCATTGTTGTTAGTATTTGGGTGTAAAAGATTTTTTCTCATTCTTTTCTAGTTATTGGAAGAGGGGGCGAGCAAATATCACGTCTGCAGCAGGAGTCTGGTTGTAAAATACAGATCGCCCCTGGTAGGTTTAGATTTGCTGCTGATACTTGGATATCACGTGTAATGTTTCATATTTGGTTTTGGTTTTTATTGTTTAGGCTTTATATAAACAGTTCCTTCTCTGTGTTTTAGACAGTGGAGGGATGCCAGACAGGTCGGTGACATTAACAGGACCACCAGAATCAATCCAGTGAGTAACCAATCCTTTCTCACCTTTAAAACCCCAGGTGCAGCAAATCTTATTTTTAGAAACTTGCATTTTATTTAATGCCTTAAAATGTTGATCACAAATTCCATTGGCTCCTTGTTAAAAATTCTAGACGGTGTATAATTGTAATTTCTCTCCCATCAGGACCGCAAAGAGGCTACTAACAGAGATAGTTGAGAAGGGACGCCCAGCTCCAGCGTTCCACCACAATGATGGCCCGGGAATGACTGTTCAGGAGATTATGGTCCCTGCCTCTAAAGCCGGACTTGTCATTGGAAAGGGAGGAGAAACCATCAAAAGCCTACAGGTGAGTGTTCGGCCAGTGGCAGAAGACAAAAATAAATCGAAGAGGATGGTGGTGGTAGTACTGTTAAGTATGACCGTCTTTCAAGCAGAGGACAAACTTGGCACAGACACTTATTAGATATATTTTGTTTATCTCGACCTGCAGGAAAGAGCAGGAGTGAAGATGGTAATGATCCAAGATGGACCCCAAAACACAGGCGCAGACAAGCCACTCCGCATTTCAGGAGAACCCTTCAAAGTTCAGGTGGGTCCTCCAACATGTGACCATTGCACTTCTATCTTTATAGCTGGGAAACAAAAAAAAAAAAGCTCTACCTTCATTTTAATTGGATATGAGCTACTTCTCCGCAGTAGAGCAAACCCCTGGCTAGAACAATAAAGTCCTGTTACATGCCTTCATGGAGGCTGGTGGAGTAAGACTGTCTTTTCTCTTCAGCAAGCCAAAGAGATGGTGATGGAGCTGATCAGAGACCAGGGCTTCAGGGAGCAGAGGGGCGAGTATGGTTCAAGGATCGGAGGAGGAGATAGCTTAGACGTGAGTGCTTGCAGTAATCCGTTTCGTTTATAAACTTGGAGACGAGGTTTCAGTCAGTGTCTTTAAGTTTGGTTTTGTTTTCTGTCACCGTTTAGGTTCCAGTCCCCCGGTTTGCAGTAGGAATTGTCATTGGCAGAAACGGAGAGATGATCAAGAAAATACAGAATGACACAGGCGTCAGGATTCAGTTCAAACCAGGTGAGTGCTCAAGTCTGCTCTATCACAAAAAGATCTGAGAATCAACCAAAAGCAAAAGTCATTTAGATGCAGTTAAAATGTGGACGGTCTATGATGAAAACTCATGCACCACGCTGAAGAGCTGATGTATAACCCCAACCCTAAACTTATCTGAGACCTGAACACATAAAAAGAATTTGGAGTATCGGCGGAAACCATAGTTTTAGACACTCACGTTTATTATTAGCAAACATTTTTGTAAGTTTCGTTCCAGCAACAGAAATTGAGAAAATTCTGTGTCAATAGTCTCTAATCACCTTATTTTCTCCTGTAGATGATGGCAGCACACCAGACAGGATAGCACAGATCATGGGTCCTCCTGACCAGGCTCAGCACGCGGCAGAAATCATATCAGACCTGCTGAGGAGTGTCCAGGCCGGGGGACCACCAGGACATGGCGGTGGCAGAGGACGTGGTCGTGGGCAGGGCAACTGGAACATGGGGCCCCCTGGTGGCCTGCAGGAGTTTACCTTCACTGTCCCAACTATGAAGACCGGCCTCATCATTGGAAAAGGCAAGTGGCCCCTCAACACCACAGCTTGATTTAAAACTGTGTTGCTATGGCAAGTGGGATCTGAGAATTGAGTTAGATGTCCAGGTAAATCCTACAAAGAACAGATTTAACTTGAGACATTTGTTGTGACTTAAATGACTGTGGAGAAATTTCGGCGGCTGCACCATGCTGCTCCAAAAGCCACATAAGTGTCCTGGGGGGAGGGTTACTTTTCACCAACATTTCATTAAGGTAACAAAATGTTGGTAAAAGAGTAATATATTAAAAATAAGAAATATTTAAACCAATAAATTGGAATTCGGAGTGAGATGTGAGGGTGATTTTAGATGCAGGTAAAATGTGGACGGTCTATGATGAAAACTCATGCACCACGCTGAAGAGCTGATGTATAACCCCAACCCTAAACTTATCTGAGACCTGAACACATAAAAAGAATTTGAAGTATTAGTTGTAGAGACCATAGTTTTAGATACTTGTGTTATTTATTAGAAAATGCAAAAAGAAATTTTACGTTTCGTCCCAACATCAGAAATTGTGAAATTCTGTGTCGATAGTCCTGGGAGAGGAACAGAAAACAATGTGTTAACCTGTATTAACTTGTTGATGTGGGTGCATGTTTACATTATAACAGGGTCACTAAGATATTGGTCCAGTTTGCT